AAAGACCAGGATCTCGTCTTCAAGAATTGGAACAAGAATTAGCAAAAATTCATCATAGAGGCACAATTTTACCAACAGCTTCTCCACAACCTTTAACACCACCTGTTTCTGTTGTTAGTTCTATTCAGATGCAACCATCATTACAACATACTCAAACTTTATTAACTACTGTTCCACCTGTAACTGCTGTGCCTGTTGCTAATGTTATTTCCAATGTCATTACATCACGCTCCGATACAAATACTCCAATACAAATAGAATCTCAAGAAAATATTACTGAGGTTATTATAATATACTTATATATAGTAAATTTCAATATATATAATGAATATCATTAAAAAATAATTATTTAATTTTATAATAGAAAGTTAATACTACACAACCAGTTAGAAAAATATCAAGATTCGTAGTTTCCAAAGTCGCAGGTCCTCCTAATAATGTTGCTACATCAACTCAACATATTGATATATCAAAAAATCAAATAGAAGATTCAAAGATTTATCATGCAGATGATACACAGGGTAAGAAATTATAAAATCAATTGAAGAATCAAATATATTTAAAGATATTTAAAGATTAAATGTTTACAAATTACAGGAACATCAGTACAAATAATTCATAGTCGTGAGAATTCTCTTCCTCCTACGCAAGTTACTCAAGCTATTAATGCTCCTGTTATAGAAGTAAATATAAATTTTTTAATAAAAGTTATATTTTTTCAATTTCTTGAAATATTTTATTAATCAAATACATTATTAATCAAACATTATTAATCAAACATTATTAATCAAACATTATTGCTTATTATAGCAATCGGAAAAAGATGAACGATTCTGGACATTAACACCAAGTGAAGAATATCAATTACTTATAAAAAAGTAGGTTTATTTTTACAAAATTTAATATCATAATTTTATAACAATTAAAAATTAATTTTATTTTTATTCATACAGGCAAACTATGGAATTAGAAACATTACAAAAAAGACATAGGGAAGAATTAGAACGATTTCAACAACATCAATTGCAACTATTAATTCAACAACAACAGCAAGCAAGTGCACTTCATCAGCATCATCATCAACATCATCCAGTGCTTTATCATACTGTTGCTACTAATGTGGCAGGTTAGTAATTAGTTTTTATTTGGAATATTTGATATATTTGATATATTATATATTTGATATATTTCATTTTAATTATTATACTTTTTTCATAATCATATAACATTTTTTCCTAACAGGACAAAGTAGACTTTCAGGTACAGAAGAATATTTAATGTTTAATACAAATCCTCAAACTCCTTTGCAAAAAGTTCCAAATAATTATCCAGATACTGATGAAACATTACGATTAGCTATGCAAAAATTGAAGCAAACTCCTTTACAACTACAACCACAACAGGCAACTGGAATACCACATGCTTATGTTATTCCAATTCCAGTAGTGCCTTCTGAAACTATTCAAAACGTATCTACTCAGCAATCTAGTAGTTATACAAGTGAAATTGCAGAATCTCTTGACTCAGCGCATAATCCGGCAATTATAAATTCAGCGCAATATCAATTCACACCTATATTACCGGATGGAACAAATATCGCTGTATCTTCTACTGGATCGTTAGTTACACCTATACCAATATCAAGTTCAACAGGAAGCGGAAGTTATATCCAATATCATGAAAATCAAACATTACCAAATTTTCAAACATTTAGTTGTACATCACATGGTGGTTTCTTTTTACCAGCTGGCTATCGACTAATATATGCTCCTCCAGGTGGAACGTCTCAATCTCAGCCGGCTACTCCGGCTACTCCGCATATAGGGAATTCTCATGATGGTACACCGCCAACAGAATCTTTGCATACTGCAAATGTTGACAATTCAACAGCCCCTCCCTCCCATATTGATCAATAACCTAATCTTCAGCAAATTATTTTTCGATTTATTCATTTTCGTAATACATTCTTTATTTAAACGTGTTGCCCTTTATCCACTAGTATGAAAGTCATGCATTATTATGATTGTTATTTTATTATAGTTTTGCTAATACATACTACTATCCTTATCCTCATGGATATGTATGCAGGGAGATGCGAATGAAAGTATTTAGGATGTATTCGTTATTGTAACATCCGTATGTAATTTAAAATATTCTTGATGTCTTTGCGTGAGCATGATATTATTTGATATGTGCTTAGCAGCAAATATTAAAACACTCAATTCATACACAAAGAATATTTTGAATGAACGATTTAAAATTTTAGACAAAAAAAAAAAAGAAAGAAAAAGAAATAAAATATTGAAATTGAGAATAGAGGCCTTTACATGTACTGTGCTTATTCTTTATTGTAGTAAATATTCTTCTTTAGTAAAAATGCTTATTAAAAAACCTTTTCTGCTCTCAATTCATTAGCACAGTTCACATTAGTACAGGCCTCAGCTAGTCTTACAAATAATGGCATAGAGCCATTCTGCTCGATATATATGTATAATTGTTAATGTATACTGAATGCTTTGAAGAGAGAATGTATGTCATGTGTGCATGTATGAGATTGCAGAATTAAACAGAGAAGAAATTGATTAATATAGTCACTGTTATGCTTTAATGTATTTCTAGCGATTTTACCTACTTCAATTAAAAAAAAAAGTCATGTGTTACTAGTTAGCAGTCTCATATATCTTATCTAATATTATATCAACTATTATCTTTTAGATTCAATTGTCAATATTTTTATTACAGTATATTTAATTTATCAGTTTATTTTACTTATTGGCATTTCATTTATAGTACGTTTTGCACAATCCATTCCTTTATATATTTTAGAAATTTGATTTAGTACTTTAATTTCGGTAATCAAATCATATCTTTAAAAGAAATAATGATAATCATTACAAATATTGAGAATCTAATTTAAAAAAGAAAGCTCAATAGAAACATGACTTAGGTATGAAATTCATACATACATATTTTAACAATATATCAAAAATAATTTAATATTTGCATTATATCCCAAGAAATATATTTTAAATTTTTATCTGTGCTATCACATATTGCATACTGCAATATAGTTAAGAATAGCTTATTTGTATAATTACAAATATTATTGTTTATTAATGATTATAATGTTATTTTTATTTCGTTCTAATAATTGCAGTTTGTATCGCTTTTAATGTTGCGATTTACTACTGCTTTGAGCATGAATTTATTATTATCATTATTATCAGTATTAAAATTTTGAAAACTATTTTGAAATTAAACATGAAGTTTTTCTTGTAATCTCCAATTTATTGCTTAATCATGATATATATAATTTCACTCAATTGTTTTATACTTGTTTTATTTTTATGTTTTGTATTACAATTTTATTAATCTGTTCTTCAAAAAAGGAATTATTATTTAATCTGTAAATTCAGTTAATCCACCTAGTAATAAATTCATGTAATTGTTGAACGAAACATTATAATATAGATAATTGTATGTATTTCTCATGGAAATATATTGCAATTATTTTTATATAGTTACTTTTAAATAAAATTTATTAGATAATACTCAAAAAAAAATGCATAACATGTAATACTAAATGTATATATTATTCATTTACTGATAGGTGGATTGGCTTTCAATATAGCTCCTATATTTGTTAATAAAAACAGTATATAAAATTTCGAAAATAAATTATGTTTAAATATAATAATTTACAGTGATATAGTTTGGTAAAAATTGATTTCTAATTTTTCAAATTTATTCATTGAAATGAATAAAATAAGACAATAGAAATGAATATTATTTCATTAACAGCATTAAAATAGACTTTTTTTTTGCAGATATATTATATACAATATGATTTTAATTATATATAATTATTATAATAATTATATAATTGGAGTAAATTTTTGTAAAACATTTTTATTGTTTTACCAAAGAATACCAAACAGCACTGTTACATATGAAAAAATCAATAATATGAATTCATCATAATTCTTTTCTACCAATATGGCATCTAACTTGATGGAATTGAACTTAGTACATTCAGACGTAGGTATTACTATATATTTTTCAGAAAATATGACAAAAAAAAATAAGTATATCATATTTTGCTACATTTAAAAAAAATCACACAAAATCACACAAAATCTTAGTACATATTGATGGATCAGAATTTAATGAACTAATTTATTAAAATTATTTAATTTATTTAATAGATTCATATAATTAATTGCAAGTATATATAAACAATTTGTTGATTGTAAATACAACATATATATATATATGTATGTACATATGTATATACATACATACATATAAGTTGTATTACATATATATATATATTGTTTTAAGCACATAAATATATCATTTGATATTTTAGAAATGCAATTGTGAAAAACAGATGTTTGTTGTATTGTATAATAAAATATTTTACTTTATCAAACTTCAAATGAAAAAAAAAAGTCTTTATTTTGAATAATACAATTGATTAAAGTTATCTACATTTAAAATTTCTCTATATAAAAATTTTAAATTCATTGAGTAAAATATATAAAAAAAAAAAAAATTTTTAAAAAAAATAAAGTTTTAATTATTTTCTAAAATATCTTGTATTAATATTTAATTACTTTGCTTGTAATAAGAAATGTGAAAAATGTTTAGGAAAAAATAATTAAAGAGCTTTCCTATGCTAACTAGTATATAAGTTCATACATGCTTCAAAAATTTATGTAAGCTTATGTTATGTGGAATTCTATAAGAAATTTTGTAAAGACTGATTAGATATGCATCAACATTCAAAAAAATTACAAAAAATAACAAAATTAATTAAAATTCTTCGTTATAATGAAAAGAAGTTGTAATAGAGGTACATAGAAATTCTATTGTTATGAACTGTTGTTTTGCGATTTCAATTAATCAATTAATTAATTAATCAAACTGGAATAATTTAAATAATTGTGCTCAGAATATTATCTTCCATTCCTTACTTGAAAAATAATTACATCAAAATGTAGTTTATGATGTTAATTAACATTGTATATTTGTGAAATTTATGAATATATTATGTAGACAACAATACATAATTTTTTTAATTAGTATTGCATGTACTATAAATAATATTTTTCTATATTATATAATCATTTTAAAATATTACAATCTTTTTACATGTATATTGTTAAATACATTTATATCACTTGTTACATATAAAAATTTAAAAAAAATTTTTAAAATAATATATTTTTAATGATATAATATAATATTTTTAATAAATGTTCTGATACATATTTATGTATCATTATTATTATAAAAATTTATTTAATAATTATATTACAATAATATAATACATAAAAATAACTTATTATATATCATAAATGTAATTCAAAATTATTTTTATTATCAAAAAGGATTTGTTTATCATTTATTACTTTAATTTTATAAACATTGAATAGCCTGTAATTGAAATAAGATAAGTTATTAATAAAATAATTAATTTATAAAATAATTAAAATAGAATAAAATAATATTTTGATATTTGGTATAAAAGAATATATATAAAAATATAAATATGATTTGCTACAAAATTTATTAAAATTCTATTAATAACAATTTTATTAAAAATTGTTCGTTTTTAAAAAAGAAATTTATATACTATTTACAGAGCATTTCTTATCATAATAATGATAGAATTAATAATTTCTAAAAATATAAATTATGAATTTTTTCATTTTTCTATTTACTCATAAATTTCTAATCTAAACAATATTGAAATATTTTCATAATTTTTATTGTAAAATAATTAAGAATAATATATATTCTTAATAAGAATAATATATATACTATTATATTAATAAGAATAATATACTTACTATTTTTTGAATTTTAGAGTACTTATTTTTATGTCATTGTTTCCATACGACTTCGATGACGTGCATAAGTACCCATGCAGGCAAAAAATCCAATGATTCCAATAATTAATCCAAGAATCAATGCTATAGTATCTCCAAAATCAAAACCCGATGAAGCCATCGCAAAATCAAATGTTGTAAGAATAATAAATAAAAAATAAAACCACATTTTTACGAAATTTGAATGAATAACACAACACGTAAGCTTCACGATAATGGTTTTAATAAACACTGTATTTATATAATAAAATTCATATATATATATATATACTCTAATTATTTGAAATTTATTATAAAAGTGCTATTGTTATTTTTTAGTATTTTATATCATAAATAAAACATAAATTTTCATTTGATATAATATTATTTGGTATTATTTAATCATTTTCTTAATTTTAAAAATAATAAAATGATTTTATTCTTAATTTTACATAAAATTAATATACTATGAAAAAAAATTAAATCATTTATTAATAATATTATTCTATATAATTATCCAAATTATTATTCTTTGCTATTTCTATATTAAATTTTCTTTAATGCTAAAAATTAATTATTCAAAAGATATATAAATAATAAAAAAAAAGAAATATGTAT